CCTTAAAGACTAAAAGCTTGTATTGCCAGCTAAAAGCCAACTAAAAGTGACACCCACCAGCCAATTGGTCAACTTCTGATTTGGGAAATCCAGTGACCCTTAAAGACTAAAAGCTTGTATTGCCAGCTAAAAGCCAACAAAAAGTGACACCCACCAGCCAATTGGTCAACTTCTGATTTGGGAAATCCAGTGACCCTTAAAGACTAAAAGCTTGTATTGCCAGCTAAAAGCCAACTAAACGTGACACCCACCAGCCAATTGGTCAACTTCTGATTTGGGAAATCCAGTGACCCTTAAAGACTAAAAGCTTGTATTGCCAGCTAAAAGCCAACTAAAAGTGAAACCCACCAGCCAATTGGTCAACTTCTGATTTGGGAAATCCAGTGACCCTTAAAGACTAAAAGCTTGTATTGCTAGCTAAAAGCCAACTAAAAGTGACACCCACCAGCCAATTGGTCAACTTCTGATTTGGGAAATCCAGTGACCCTTAAAGACTAAAAGCTTGTATTGCCAGCTAAAAGCCAACTAAAAGTGAAACCCACCAGCCAATTGGTCAACTTTTGATTTGGGAAATCCAGTGACGCCTTGGTGCTAAAGTGGTTGAATGTGTTGGTCAACTTTTTGTGCCTTGTTCGTCTTGGATGATATGGCTGGTCCGTGTTTCGTTTCGGGAGGACCTGGGGAGACCACCCAAGCTTTTCAGGGAGATGTTGTCCGGTAAGTTAAACAACAACGTAGGTATCTTTTAGCAAGATTCCCCGCAACTTGCTGTTTTTGGTTGGCAACTTACAAGTACATATTATGTGTTGTACGTTCAAAATTCAGTACATGTAATATATTATGTAAACATATATATATATAAGGCTATTTCGTTGCATTCAGGTGCCATAACATTCCATTCGGGTGTCATGGGCCTAGCAGCGATAGAACTGCTGCCACTTCAGCGTCAAGGGGGGGGGTGGTCTATGGCAGAGAAGAGGCTTGCGCCCAACATTTGCATTTAGTCAAGTTCTTGGAGTTATTTTACTCCCTGACGGTCTGTTGCAGCTTCAAGTTCAGAAGATGTGACAAGTCAATGTCTGCCCTCGGCCGGTTCATCGGGCCTTGAAACGCGGACTATGTTGCAGCGCATCACCGACTTGCTAGTTGTATGAATCGCCCTATACTTTCTGAAAACCTGAGACTGCTGGGGGTGAGGGTTTGGCAGGACCGTCGTCCTCAGGGCAGCCCCCAAACAACTTGTGGAAGGTCGCAAAGTTAATGGGTGCTGCGGTTTCTCTCGGACTAGGTTAGTTTCTGGGGGAATTTCCTTTTTGCTGGTGGAATTTCTTACTTGGTAGCCAGGGGTTGGGGAAGTACAGGGGTATATTCCTTTGAGGAAGCCGGGGGTTGGGGGTGGTGGTTTTGCGAAACAGTCGCCCTTACGGGATCGCGGCTTGAGGGAAGCCGAGGGTGACCCATATTAGGTAATCGTGGCTTTTTCACCAAAATGTTAGTGTTTGTGTTTTTTGACGCTTTCAAAGGGACGTGGTGGTTTTGCGAAACTGTCGTCCCCGGCCCCCCACCAAAACCGTCGTCCCCGGCCCCCCACCAAAACCATCGCCCCCGCACCCCCTCATCCTCTCACCCTTGACCCCGTTGTGATACTCGTTCCCCTGTTTAATCCTCGAAGCGTGACACATGATGCTCCCTATAGCCATTTGGTGTAACACCTGATTGTAATGATGTAACCCCCGAATACAACGAAATTGACTTATATATATATGTATATATTATTGCATCAATGAGAAACATATTATGCTTCCTAAGCCGAGCCTCTGGATTGTGACAGGGGGAGACTGCTGGGTGGGTATGCGGGTCCCAAATTCGGCTGATTTCCTCAGGTGAAACTTTAGAACTCTTTTAGCAATTGTTTGCACACCCGTGAAACACCTTCTTGAACCACCATTGAACCACCTTGAAGCACCATTTTGAACCACCTTCTTCAGGTCTCCTTAAGATACATTTTGCCCATTTGAAACATGGCGTTTTCCACCCAAATAAAGGGAAACCACCATTTACAAGGCAATGTTCAGGTGTATAATGTAAGGATCCCTTGAAACAGCCTTCAACCACCCGAACCACCTTCTTGAAACACCATCGACACAAAAAACATGTGCATGCCGTCCACGTCGGAGACCTTCTTGAAGAAAACAAGGGAATGACCACAGGCCATTTGGATGGGGTTTGGACCATTCGTGTGTCCAAATGACTGCCTACTTAAATGGCTGTGGGTCAAAAATAGGTGCCGAAAATGGACTGGTAAATGGACACATGGACTAAAAGCTGCGGTCCCCTGCAAGTTTGATTTTGACCCATACCCAAATGATCAATAGCCAAAATCAGCGCCCTCTGGCCAGAGCCAATGAGCAAAGAGCAAAGATGCGTCTTTCTAACTCCACCTGAGCCAATCCGATTCGGGTAGATGGTTAGGTTAGTAAGGGATCGATGAAGGTTAGTAAGGGCCAGTCCCAGCCAGAAATAGCTGCGGATATCCGCCTTCTTAATTCTTGAAGCATGGTTTTGGGTAGGCCATTTTACTACCGGGTTTTGATTATGACTCACCTCCGGCTTTCTCCAGGAACGGCGGCATCCTGGGCGTGCCCAACGCCAGCGGCCCCATGAGCGATGCCGAGGGCCGCAAGAGGCGGGCGCGCGAGCGCGCGAGCGCGGCCGCTTTTTCCGGTGCTTTCTGGGCCGGGGGGACGCGTTTTTGGGTTTGGGGGGACCCAAAAAAGCCGCCCACCCCCCACCCACCCCCCAATTTTAACTGAGAAATGGACTTGTTTGAAGAAGTCAGACGTCAGAACATGAGAGCCCTCTTTGAAGCAACTTTGGGAGCCCCCGTCTGGTTTCTGAACCAATCCTGGGAAATGATCCCACTCTGCGCGTATAACCACACGGGAGTGTCTCACGTTGGCGGACCCTTCTTTATTCCAGTATTCTTCCCTTAAAAACCCTGTTGGTTTTAAAGGGAATCTATCACTGCCGGAAGTATTTCTATTTTGTCCAGGGATCTTAACCAAATGGACGTATCCAACGGAAAACCGCACGGACACCGTTGCCATTTTAGGCGACCCCCTATTTTGAGAAACTAGTTGGGATGAATGAAGCTCCGCACAGGTCTCACTTGCCCAAAGCGAATCGAGCTTTTCACCTCTTGGGTTTTCCCTTTTCGGTCCACTTTTAGTCATGGCCCCAAAAGGTGATCACCTCATATTTCTGCGTTCCTAAGGGGCAACTGGGAAGGGGCGTTTCAGCATAGAGACCGTCTGGTTCCGACTCATTCGCGCGGATTTTGTCAGCCGTACTAACCCTGCGGAAGCTCTGTGACCTTTGACTTGGGCTGTGAGATCACGTTGTTTTTGGCTTGGACCGGAAAAGTGGTCGACAACCCAAAGGGGTGTGTGGTCGCCAAAAGCGAGAGATGCACAAATTACGTCATCCACTCGTATTTGATCCGCAAGGCGCTGGTGCCCGATTTCCAGTCTCGGGGTAGATCGACCATGGCTCACAGGTAGCAGCTAAGTGTTACTGGAGACAGGCCTCAACCATATACCCGGGTGCACATGGCCACGTCCGTTGATTCTACCGGGTTTCACAAAGCCAAACCACCAGAATGGCAAAGCTATATAATACCAAGGTGCGGCAAAGGTGAATAAAGGTGTATACACACATACACACAGACACACACACACACACAATTACGCGCACACACACACATAGACATATATATATATATATGATACATGTATATGTGTGCATATATATATATAAATACATATATATATATATATATATTAAATCTATGTATCATATATGCACACAGCCCATGTCCACGATGGCCTTTTTCACCCGGCCGCCCGGACGCGACCACCCGGCGCCCGGCGGACCCACCTCGAAGTGTCGAAGTCGACTTCGCCCCAGGAAGCTGAACTCGGAGCTGGCCAACGGGCGGCTGGCCATGGCGCGGGCTCACGGGCCGCCGGAGATGGACGGACGGACGGAGATGGGAGAGGAGTGGAGCAAAGAACGCCGAGTAGGATAGGAAGGTAAGGGATGGTCCCCTTAAGGGAAGAGAAGAAAGGCCGAAGGGTGGAGAATTGGTCAAGTTTCGCTTGGTTTCCGTTTTCCGCACTTCAGGTGAGTTCCGTTCGGACCTTACTACCACTGTTTGGGTTTGGGAAGACCATTTAAGTGGCAAAGAACAAGTTTGGCTGCTTTTGTGGAACCATCAACTCCGGAAGTGAGTTTGAGGAAAAAACCCTTGGCGTAAATTGTTGTGGTTTCGCCGCCGTGAAGGGAATCTTGTTCCGGGCCCCGACCATGTAAATACCGATCGGTTTTGATTTTGACTCAGATAGGTACGGTTACTGTAGGTTACTTCACCATGGCAATTGGTTGGAAACTGGGGAAACCGTCCCCGGGTAACTGCGGTGATCGTCTCCTTATAACATCATGGTTGCAACCTAAGTGGCGTGAATACCCTTTCACAGGCTGAGAAGTCAGAGTCACTAGGCTGCAATGGCTCTGGCGATTCGGCTCAGTGTTCGAATTCGGGTTGGGTCGCCCACTTGTTTAAGCCAGTTCAAGCCAGGAATGCGGAAGACTCATTCCTCTTGAGGGTATGGAACCCAAGCGTGTCCGCTGCGCTGGAATCGGACCGGGCTGCCTTGGAGAGGGAATCGGGACCGGGCCGCCTTGAAGTGAAACACAAACAAAACCACCCCCAAGGTCATAGGTGTTCTTTTTGGTTGGTTTGCATGAAAAATAGAGGGCCCTAGTTTAGATGGGGTTTATTCCATTTACCAGGGCCATCTATTTTTCCAAAAGGCCACCTATGCCCAAAGTGGTTCGAATGGCACTTCCCTCCAAGAGCGATTGAAAGATCACCAACACTTGCAACTTAACCTCGTTTTGTTATCGTGAACGGCGGACAGTCAGGTACCCCCAAGTGGTAGGTCAAAGAGAAGCAGCTCAGTTTTCCCACTTTTCCCGACTTTCCCCGTCAAACGCGTGACCCCAGAACTGGGGGCGACGGCGATCGCGCTCGCGCGTGCTGATGGGCTGAGGTGGCCATCACGGGAATGCTCTTCCAGAACGGACCGGTTTCGCGGGGTTTATCGATCGCCTTGGCTTTTTCTGGGCTGAAGCGCTTGGAGCGGTTGGCGTTACCCTGGTTAAAAAAAGGAAACAACAACAAAAAACAAGCAACCAGACCAGTGGTGCCCGTTCATTTTTTTAGAGGGCCCGATTGAACGCCGCTCGCAAAAAGAGAGTGCCTTTTTTCCCGTTGCTTGTGGGGATCTGGGTCAATACCAAACCGCCGTTCTGTGGGCTGGAGCCCATCTAAGTGGGACCCACACAAAGCGAGATAAAGGACTTGCCAAGACGAGTCCGACCTGTTTGGGGGGATCGCATTTCTCTTGGATAGTTCATACCTTCACCATTTCAAAGTGCTCTTCCTTGTGATGTTCCCTTGGACCATTGGCTGGTGGCGAGTTCCTGGCCACTCTTTTTTGGGTATCGCGGCCCAGGCCACCATTTTTTTTCTTCCCCCCTTGGATGGGGCGAGTTCCTGGCGCTGCTCCGCTTGTGGCACGGCAGCCCAGAGTCGGCGAATCAGCCGCCGCAATAGGGCCGCCAAGAACGGCACAGCCCGAGCCACTACGGGGCGAAGCTCCAGTTGCTTCCGTCGGCGGACAAGGCCATCGACCGTAAGCGCCTCCGGTTTTGTGATCAATACCTCTTAACGGCCGTACTCGCCGTACTCAGCTTCTCCACTTGAAACCGCAGGCTTTCACCTTGAAATTGCCCCAGTCTGACTTTCCAACCCTGTGGGATTCCAAGAGATGTGTAGGTCCTTGGCACCTCCGGATGTTCCAAAGATTGGTGTTTTAACCTCCATCGTTCTTTAAAGCGAAATGGCCATGTTTGGTTCTAAGACCCCGACTGCTTCTTTCCCCCGAGGTGAGCTATGAGAAAAACTATGGGGTCGACGGGCCCCGGCCTCGTTCTTTCCTCGTTGGGCTCCCTGCGCGGGTTCCGGGCGGGGCTGTTGGGCCCCGATACCACCTTTTATTTATTGTTATTTATTTATTTGGGGGGGGAGGGGGGGGGGGTTGTTTTATGTGTTCCTTTTTTTAAATGTCATCCCCTTAAGGTTTTCCCCAACAGCTGAAAGCTTAGGGCTTTGCCCAGACAGGCTCAGGAGTGGTGCGGAGCAGCTTCTTGGGGTTCCTGGAGGTTTTCCGGGCTGTTGGGGATACCACCTGGGCTTAGCTTTTTAAGGTTTAGTGGGGGGTTCCATTTAACCCGCCAAAAGTTAAACTTTTAGCAGGGGATCTGAAAACGAACAGCCCATTTTTGGTTAAAAATCCTAGAGGAGGCGCTGTTCCTGGAAGTCTTGGGTTTCTGCGGGTTGGTCCGGTTGGTGGTTTGGATTGGTGGGATTGTTCAACGCTCCTGGGTTGGTGGGAAGCCACACCACCGGGCACCACACGTGGCGACCACATGCGCCCGCAGGAATGTTTGGCACCACTGGCCCGGCCATGTGGGGCTTCTGAGAGACGAGGACCTGGGAGTTGAGACTCATCCCCCCCGCCTCCCATTCCATTGGCTTCCGGGACCAAGGCTTAGGGGCGGAGGACTTGAAAAAAGCAGGCCAAAGCAGGCCAAGGAAGGCCAGAGACGGCGAATTTTCATGGGGAACTTGTTCTGAAAAGCGGTTGGCGGACATAAGTCCCCACCTAAATGGTGTCCACCAAAGGGTCCCGGTTTAAAATTCAGACCCGTATGGTTGAAGCTCGGGTCAATGCATACTGCAGCTGCCCCAGCTGGAAGCCTAAGTGGGTTGGAAGAAGCAGTTTTCGGCTCGTTTGACGGCTGAAGTGTGTAGCTACCAAAAGGTTCACCTACATCACCTACATCTTTTTGGGGACGACTCTGCGTTTCAACTGTGGGAAGCATTTGCTGGTCGAAATTCGTTGGGGTCTGCCCCTTCTGGCGCCTGGCGTTTTGGTCCAAACTGCCTCCAGGGCGATCCGATTCCAGCGGATCCGACTCCACTGGATCGTACCTTTTGGCTTCCGACATGCCCCGAGCGTTCTGCGTTCTGGGGCTGTAGCCCCACCTGGCAAGGTCAAAGCGGGTCCTTTTTGGCTTTCGTGCATTTTGCTTGGCCGTTAGGACTTTAACTGTTTGCCAATTACTGGGTTTTCCAGTAAACCACTAAAAGTTATTCACTTTTAGCAGGGGAGCAGAAAGCAACCGAGTTGGGATGGTCTTTCAAAGGTAAGCTGGAAGGCAAGCAACCAGGCCGCACTCCGGGGAAAACTCTTTTCTATCCGCACGGAAGCACACGAGCACTCACTCCAGGCTTGTTTGAAAGTGGGGTTTTCGTCCGCACCATTTGAGATGAGCGCTATTGGCTCATTTTTTGGTAGCATCCACACGCTTCCACCTTTCTTGCATATATCAGTTTCAAGTGGAACGCAGTCCAGCCAACAAAAAGGCGCCTCAGTCTTTTCCAACCAGTAGCCCTTCCTGGTCATGAAGAGGCTAACTAGGGCCTCAATGGTTGGATGGCCCCCTATGTTGATCCAGGATGCGTCAAGCCCTAGCTGATCGATAGGGGAGAAGCCCACTTTAGATGCGGCCGTCCGAATCGCGCCAGGAATGAGCTCTGGAAGGCCGGAACCATCAGTTGAGGCGCCAATTTTAGAGGTGCCATGGTCACAGCACGTCCGGCCTGGGATGGTCAACCCGCATCTAGCTTGTGCTATGGCGACCAGATGATAGAAGAATTAAGCAGCCGTGTTGCAACTGTGTGGTTTCCGTTTCGATGACACCTCGGCTTTTTTGGTTTTGACCATGGCATCGCATATGACTACCTGAATGCCTATGAGGAAAAAGGCGTGCCCGGGCGTTCGACCAGGCCTTTAGCGCCCATACCCCTAAGATGGCGTAGGAGTTGGTGGGTTGTGTCCTGGCTGACTACTCACTTCCTGAGTTCCCGGACTATATCTTAGGGCTTCGCCATCATCAGCTGCGCTGGTTGGCTGCAGCGCCCACCCACCCCACCCCACCCCACCCACCCCACCCACCCCACCCACCCCACACCCACACCACCCCCACCCACCCCACCCCCACCCCCACCACCCCCACCCGCACCACCCCCACCCCCACCTGCCCACCCACCCATTTACCCACCCACCCATTTACCCACCCACCCATTTACCCACCCACCCATTTACCCACCCACCCATTTACCCACCCACCATTTACCAACCCACCCCACCCACCCACCCCCACCCCCACCCACCCCCACCCCACCCCCACCCACCCCCACCCCACCCCCACCCCCAACCCCCCACCGGTTGAGGATCCCTTCAAAATAGTTATGAAATTCAGATGCCCACCCAAGCGACCCGCCAGTAAAAATCCTACCCACATGATAAAGTTTACAAGCCCAGGGACCGAATCGTTTTCTCCACGGGTGAAAAAGCCCTCCTGTTGTAGTGGGAGCCCAAAAGATCGGCAAAAAATCCCAGGCATTGGGATGGCAAGCCACCAAGACTGTTTCCAGTATGCCACGACAAATGCAGGTTGGTACGTCACCACACACAAGCTTTCTCGTGACAAAAACTAGTTGGAAACAAAATCCGCGGGATCGACAAAATGGTGACTTGTTTGGGTTCGGTTGGTTAGCCCTCCACTCTGCCTTGACCTGCGTATTTGGGCTCAGGGAAACGCGGAGTGTGCAGCTTGTACAGAATCAACCATCCTCGCGCCCCTCTTTATTTTCCACAACTTTTTGTAAACGCGCCTTGGAAGCCAGTTGAGGATTCGGAGCGCTGCCCGTTTGGTCAGTCTTTTGGGTGGGATGGATGTGGCTGGCGCCCTACCCTGAGAGAAACGGCAGATGTGCCACAATGCACACCTGGCTAATTGCAAGTGTGCTACAGTTCCGACCATAAACAGGTGCGACTCGTTTCTTATCAGAACTGATCAGGTGCTGAGGAGTCCGATTTGCTTTGAGGGCTTGTGTCTTCCTCCGAGGATGTCTGCGTCGCGAGCCACTGTTGCTTCCGCCGCCGCAGGCGCGCAGAGGAGAGAGACGATCGGTGTCTTGTGCTTGTTTGTTTTAGCGGTGGTCGTGCTCGCAGTTGTGCTTGGCTTGGCTTGCCTGTTGCTTCTTCTTCTTCTTGCGTTGTTGTTGTTGTTGTTGTTGGTGGTGGTGGTGGTGGTGGTGGTTGTTGGTTGTTGTTGGTTGTTGGTTGTTGTTGGTTGTTGTTGTTGTTGTTGTTGTTGCTGTTGTTGTTGTTGTTGTTGTTGTTGTTGTTGTTGTTGTTGTTGTTGTTGTTGTTGTTGTTGTTGTTGTTGTTGTTGTTGTTGTTGTTGTTGTTGTTGTTGTGTTGGTTGTGTTGTGTTGTGTATTGTTGTTGTTGTTGTTGTTGTTGTTGTTGTTGTTGTTGTTGTTGTTGTTGTTGTTGTTGTTGTGTGTGTTGTTGTTGTTGTTGTTGTTGTTGTTGTTGTTGTTGTTGTTGTTGTTGTTGTTGTTGTTGTTGTTGTTGTTGT